ACACACACACACACACACACTCACACTCTGTGAAGGCTCAGTCGGAAGAGAAGCACACCCTTCTGGCCCCGCCATTGTCGTGCTGCACAGTGATCAATCTTGGCGGCGGAGACGGCAAGAACGAAGACCCTTGACTCCAGACCTTGAGTTCTTTGCTGAACAGGCCTCTTGATTCATCTCAACTCTCTTCTCCACCACTAGGATCGTGATCGACCATCTCTGCCCCTTCAGCGACGACACCTCATCTGATATTGTCTTGCATCGCCACTTAACGCCCATCGACCCTTCGCTGCCAAACGCAGCTCTGTCCACAATGGCTTTCCAGGCACTCCTCTCGACAGTGACCGCGGCGCTGGTCTGCGCTTCGTCAGTCCAAGCATACGTCTTGCCTCTGCAGAACAATCCCGAACACACTGGAGATCTCGCTACCGCTCATGCCTTCCGCCTTGCCAGTCGCTCGCTCAACGACCTCTCGCAGGGCTCCGTCTCCGTGCCCGTTTACAAGAGGCACGGCGGGCTGCATCCCGACATTCGCAAGCGTGACCCCGAGACGACCAAGAAGTGGGCTCTCCGACAGGCCGAGGTGATGAAGGCCAAGTACGGCGCTGTCAGCCCAAACCAAAAGCGCCAGACCATCGGACTCACCGACGTGGGACCTGACAGGTACGTAGAAGATTCCATTCATTTCACCCACTTCATCGTCCGCAGTGAAACTGACCTTCCGTTCTCACGCTCGTTTCTCACGCCACACAACACAGCTACTATTACGCTCAAGTCTCGGTCGGAACACCCGCGCAAAACTTCAACATTGTTCTCGACACCGGCTCTGCCGACTTCTGGCTCGTCGACTCGGACTGCGGCACGGCTCAGAACTGCGACTCGGATCTGGTCAAGTACAACACGGGCGCCTCTTCCACCAACATCGGCTCCTCCACTCCCTTCACCATCACCTACGGCACTGGCGGTGTTCGCGGTGTTCTCGCCGCCGACCGAGTCTCGCTCGCAGGCTACACGGTCAACAACCTCACCTTTGCCGAGGCCAGCTCGGTCGCTGCCAACACGGTCGAGTTCCCCACCTCGGGCATCATGGGCATGGGCTTCCAGTCTCTCGCCACCAGCGGTGCCACTCCCTTCTGGGAGGTGCTTGCCAAGGAAAACGTGCTCAAGACCAATGCATTCACCTTCCAGCTCGCCCGCAACATCGACAACATCAACCCCAACGACCCCAACATCAACGACATCCAGAGCCCCGGTGGCGTCTTCACTCTCGGCGAGATCGACTCGAACCAGTACAACGGCGACATCACCTACACCAACATCCCCAACAACCTCCAGAACACCCAAGGCTTGGGCTACTGGACCATCCCGCTCGGCGGCATCTCGGTCAACGGCAACAATGCCAACATCGGTAGCAACCCGCTCGCCGCCATCGACACGGGCACCACGCTCATCGGCGGTCCCTCGTCCTCGATCCAAGCCTTCTACTCGCAGATCTCCGGCGCTCGGTCCGCATCCAGCGTCGGCATGTCCGGCTACTACCTCTTCCCCTGCTCCACCAACCTCAACATCCAAATGACATTCGGTGGCAAGAGCTGGTCCATGAACTCGGCCGACTTCAACCTCGGCTCGTACCCCTACACAACCTCGAGCACGTGTCTCGGCGCGTTGTTCGAGATCGACCTCGGCTCGTCGGCGTACGGAGTGCCGCAGTGGATTGTCGGCGATTCGTTCCTCAAGAACGTCTTTTCCGTGTTTGACGGCAGTGGACGCGTTGGGTTTGCGAGTTTGAAGGGAAGTGAAGCGCAGATCGTATCGGTGACGAGCAATGCGGTTTCGTCGCAGACGCCGCAGAGCTCGGCGTCGAGCAGTGCGTCCGGGTCGAGTTCGAGCTCGGCGAACGGTGCGGGTGGCGGACTGCCGTTGCCGACGGGATCGACGACGTTTGCGTCCCAGGCGACGGCGACGGGTGTCGAGGCGGGTGGAACGCTGCCTGTCCCCTCCGCCAGCACGGTCGTGTCGACTTCCAACCCGGCTCTGACGACCGCGCAGAGCAACAGCAACAGTGGAAGCAGCAGCAGTGGCAGCTCCTCGTCCTCGGCCGCGTCGAATGTAGTGGTCGCCATGTCGGCTGTCTCGTTCGCGGCGGTGTTCGTTGGCGCCGTGCTCGTTCTCTGATCGACTCGACTCTTGGAATAATGTAGCTTTCGGTATTGGGAAGCTTTGCGCGCATCGTCTCTTGGATTTTGTAGCTCACTCTTTTGGTTTCCCCCTTGTGGCGGGCTCCGCGTTTACCTCGGGCCCGCCGTTGCTTCAATGAACACTCTCTTGGTTCTCACAAACGATCGATCCGCATTGCGGTTCCCACACATGGTTCGCATGCGCCATTCATTCGAGCGTGACGTGTTCGAAGAGGTGATCTCGATGAGGTGACACTTTGCGACTGTGCCTCACACCTCGACTTCTATCCTCGGAAAGAGCGGTTTCGCCTTTCCCTCGCCCTTGCCCCGCTGCACGACATGCGAGACGAGTCTCCCTTCGCCATCCGTGACGATCAAATCCTTCCTCCTCACCCTCTGTTCGGGGGGCACCTTGAGCGTGTCCAGCAGCTCGACCATCTTGCCTGGCATGAAGGGGCGCAGCAACAAGCCGCTGATGCGCAGACACTCGGTGACGAGCGTGAGGCACTCCACCACCACGGGCACGGGGGTTTGGGGGGACCACGGTTCGAGGCGGGCGGTGAGCTCGTTGGCCATAGCGATGGTGGTGAAGATGGCTTCGAGGGTTTTGGCTGGTTCGAAGGCGTGCATCCCCATATCCGCTTTGGAGGGCAACTCCTGGAGGGCCGCTTCGAGATTCTGGCACAGGGCGAGGGCGTCGGCGTCCATCAGCGGATCGAGTTGCTCTCTCGACGGTCGGATGAGACAGTTGGTCGTTGCGTCCTGGGGGAAGCCCTCCAGCCGAGCATGGATCTTGGGTGCGCAAATGCGTGACAAAAGGTTACCAAGCTGACCCTGCAGATGCTTCCGATGGTACTCGACCAACACACTGGGATTGTAATCCGCATCGCTGCCGAAGCTCCCCCCTACCCGCATGAGGAAGAAGCGCAGCGTATCCAACCCAAACAGCTGAATTGCCTCGAAGGGGTTCGCCACGTTGCCGCGCGACTTGGACATCTTTGCCTTGCCCATGGTCCAGTGTGCGTGGGCCAGCACCGTCTTGGGTGGGGGGAGACCGGCAGCGAGCAGAAGGGCGGGCCAGTAGATCGCATGGAAGCGCAGGATGTCTTTGCCCACCACGTGGACGTCTGCTGGCCACGCCTTCGGCGAGAGAGGGTAGCCAGTGACGGTGAGGTAGTTGGTCAGCGCGTCGACCCAGACGTAGATCGTGTGGTCTGGGTCATCGGGTACGGGGATGCCCCAGGACAGCCGGCTGCGAGGGCGCGAGATCGAGAGGTCCGAAAGCCCAGCTTCCACCTCGGCGAGCACTTCGGCGTGCTTTTTTGCCGGCTGCACCGACCGCGCGTCGGCTCGGAGCCAGTCCAGAAGAGGTTGACGGAACGCAGATAGACGGAACTTGTAGTTCTCCTCCTGGGACCATTCGACTCGAGCACCCGTTTCAATGCTCTGCATCTCCTCACCCGTGGGGTTGCTGACCTTGTGCACGGCGGATTCGGGATAGAATGCCTCATCAGAGACAGCATACCATCCTTCATGGGAGCCTTTGTAGATGAGGTCCTTGTCGCGTAAAGTGCGCCACAGGTGCTCGACTGCGATTTTGTGATCGGAGTCGGTGGTGCGGATGAAGCCCGTGTAGTCGATGTTGGCCGCGTCCGCTAGCTCCTTGAACCGCCCACTGATGCGATCGCACAGCAGACGAGGGTCTTCGCCGGCGCTCTCGGCGACTCGTTGGATCTTCAGCCCGTGCTCGTCCGTCCCCGTGCTGAGCAGTGGTCTCACTGCATCGTCTTCCGGCAAAGAGGAGGAGGAAGGAGAATAGCCAGAATGCATGTAGCCATGCCACCGAGCGAAGACATCGGCGATGACATCCGAGTAGAGGTGCCCAATGTGCGGATCTGCGTTGACGTAGAAGATCGGCGTGGTGATGTAGTATGGCTTGCGCGAGGGCGGTGAGGTGGACGGTGATCTGGATGTCGAAGCGAAGGCTCGTAAGGATGGCGGGTATCGTAGTGTCTGGAGAGGGGCTGCGCGCAGGGGTCGTGTTGACGCCAGCCGCGATAAAGATGCGACACACCGGCTGGCGGGGAGGATGGGTCGTATTGATGTGATCATCGTTGCTGTGCAGGCCCCGGGCGACCCGACACTGGTTGCAGTGACCGCGCTTGTGGTGGTGGTGTCGAGCTCGAGAAGAAACGGTTCAGGGTCTTGGTGCAAAAAGTTGGCCGTGTCGGAAGTCGGCCTCGTTCAAGGTGGAGGTTTTGCCTCTCTGCCAAAAGCTTTGCTCCTTCTCACCATCCTCGCCACTCTCACCGCTCTTCGCCCAGCAACACCAACCACTCGCCAGCCCACCCATCACGAGCCACACCACCATGTTGATCAACCGCCTCATTGCCGCCGCGGCGCGACCCTCCCTCTTGGCCCCTCTGCCTCGACTCGCGCCTCGCTCATTGCCCCTACTCCGCACCTACGCCTCCTCCCCAACCCCCAACAGCTTCCCACAACTCCCACCGGGATTCGAAAAGCTCGCCCACTCCCCCTCCGCCCTGTCGGCCATCACGAATCTCGTCGAAGTGATGAAGCAGAACGGCGTCGATCTGCACACGGGTGAGAAACCGAGCATGTGGCAGATGGTCAAGCTGGCCCGCAACCAGGAGGTGCGCGATGCTACCACGAAAGGTATGTCAAACCCCTGCAGCGTGATGAGGAGAAGAGACGCTGACCGCGCATGTGTGTTTGTGGCTGACAGTGATGGAGGAGCTCAAGAATGCTGGTGTTGATGTCTCGCCGGAGAGGCTGCAGAGCATTATGAACAGCTCTGGGGGAATCTTCGGCGGGGACAAGGGAGACGGCGGGAAGAAGGAGTAGAACGATGCACATGTCGTTGATACATTGATGTTGGAACGAACATGAATCTACTGTTCCACGCAATCAGACGTCGTCGTGCTTCTCAACGAATCGACAGCGTGACGCAACTGCGCTTTCTTTGGACGTCAAACCGCTTCAGGAGAAGGCACTGAGGTTTTTAAAGCCGTTCACGCTCGCGACTCTGGCGTGAGAAGAAACCGCTGCCGACTCGCTGTTGAGGCTGAGAGTGTCCACACACACCTGTTCGATCTGGACTCATGTTATTGCTACTGATACAAGAGGCGAGCTGCGCTACGAATCCACCGACATGGCGTTTGACTCTGCCGTTCCTGTCGCTGGCGCCGCTGCTGCCGCCGCTCCCTCCTCGGCGTCCTTTGGCTTAGCTAGACCGTGCTTGTTCAACAGCCTATCGATGTCGTTTGGCTTGAAGATGTTGGTCTGTGGTTTTCCCGTCCTTGCGTTGAGCGTCAATGTGGCGAACTCGAGCTTTTCGCTGTCCAACGAGGTGCTGTCCATGGTCTTGCTCAAGATCTTCACCGCCAGCGCCATGGCGTCTTGGATGCCGATGTCGTCCTTGTAATCCTGCTTGAGCAACGATGTTGCGGTACCGTTGTTGTTGCCGATGCACGTCGCCTTCCAACCGGAGTAGTTTCCCGATGGGTCCGAGTGATACAGCTGGAAATGGTGGTGGTCGTCGTACCCCGCGTAGAGGATGGACACGCCGAAGGGACGAAGACCACCAAACTGGGTGTAGCCCTGCTTGTAATCGCACAGACGCTGAGCGAGCTGCTCGACAGGCATGTCATCGTCGTATGCGGCGAGGTACTGCTGCGCCGCATTGCGCGCAAAGTTGACCAGCGAGTTGGCGTCCGCGGTGTAGCCGGCTACACCTGCCATCACGTTGTCCGAGACGGCAAAGATCTTTTCGGACGACTGGTCCTGCTCGAGCAGTTTGGATGTGACTTTCTTTTCGGCGGCAAGAACGATACCGTCCTTGGCGAGAATGCCGATGACCGTTCCAGCGTGCGAGATAGCCTCCATGGCATATTCGACCTGGTAGAGACGCCCTTCGGGGGAGAAGGTCGTCGTGCGCGAGTCGTACCTGCGCGACATGGTGGGCGATTTGAAATCTGGATCGAAATGGACTGAGGCGCGGAAGTCTGAGAGTGCGTGGTCGACGATGAAGAGGCTGCTGTCAAAGTGAAGAAGGTGATGCTAGAAGAGCAAGTGGAGTTGCGGTGTTGGTTTAGTGCTGCGTTGCGTGTCAAATTGCGTGTCTGTGCATTTTAGGCCCTGGTTGGCGCACCGATCACTCTGAAATCTACGCGTTCTGCTGCCTTGTAAATTTGGTCTGCTCGCGGGCGGGTGCTGCCCGATTTCCGATCCTCCTGCACGGCTGAGCTTGACATTTGTGAGGACGAACATTTGCTCGCTGTCCTCCGCTCAACTACTGTAGCTTGGCGAAGTCGATGAAAGCAATAAGGGAAGCCTGTCGGCGGACTTTGCCCTAGTCAAGGCCTCTCGCACTTCGATACACGACAATGCTGCCACACGCTCAAGATTGCAAACCTCTCCGGGCGCGCCAACAACAAGGTCGTGTGATGTAGTGGTCGAAGCATTCCAGATTTTGATAGGTACAACAAGTCTGTGCTAAGGTCAAACGGTTCTGGCTACCTGGGTTCGAATCCCAGCATGACCACCTTTTTCTCCTGTACTCCTTGTAGCCTGTTCGACGACTTCATCTGTGGATGGTGGGGACGATGGTGGGAGTCAATGTTGGATGAGATGAAGGCAGAGCTTGATGAGGAAGCCAGTCGGAATTTCCGGAAGACTTTCCCGGTGGGGCCAGCTGCACGCTTGCATAGCTCCACATTTCTCGCTTACCGGAATTCCCGTGGAGCCCGCTTCGCCTCTCGAAAAAGTGCGCGCGCGACTACTCGGACAGCTTCCGTGTCGCTTTCGAGCCCATGCTGACGGCGTGGGAAGCGGGTGATCTCCCGATTGGCATGCGTCGGATGCCGGCGTTGCGGGTGATGCGTACAGTATGAAATGCAGCTCGGATGAAGCGACGGAGGGGCCTCAGCACATTGTGACAATTGTGAGAAGTCACAAGCGAGAAGTAAGGGTGCAGCTCAGTAAGCGTGACAATTTTGAGTGAGCCGCGTGCCGCGCTTAGATGACCGCTTTGACTTCATCTCCCGCTCAACGCCAACATCGGCTACTCCTCATCATCCCCACGGTCCAGGAGGCTCCCTTGCAGACCCGTCATTCCAGACACCATCACCACGGGACTCTCGACGCGGTAGCAGCAGCCCCAATGACCCTCGCGACCACCACTACAACAACAACATGACGCACGACACGACTCACTAGACGCGGTCCCTTCAACTTCCCACCAACCCCCCTACGTGTCGCGACTGCACCAAGGTGCTCTCGCTTCGCCTGCTGTACTTATACAAGATGTCGACCTCCCCGTCACCTCACACGCCCATCACAGCTCCCCCACCACCAGACGTCTCAGACAAGGCCTGGAGAATCATGTGGGCTTTCCTCATCGGTTTGCTCTTGACGGCGATCTTCTTTCGCTCCGTCCTTCCACGGCTGCCTCGCATCCTCTTTCGTGGCAAGCTGCGTATCAACAGGGCCGGTCTGCGCGGTATTCGTGGCATCGAGTACCGCTCCAAAGGATTCCACAATGATTCTGCCGCCTTCTCACGGAACGAGAACCAGCTCGAAGTCAAGATTCAGCGGATCTACGCTACGATTCACCTGCCCTACTTCCTCCGTAAGGCCGAGGAGAAGCCAAAAGTAGTGCCGCGCAAGAGCGGCGCCATCATCACGCTTCATGTTCAGGGCGTCGGTGTGCGTCTTCCTCGATCCCAGCAGCATCCACACCAAGCCGACAAGGCATCCACTGCACCATCTTCCAAAACAACATCAACAGCAGCCGATGATAATCTCCACAAAGTCTCTGATGCAATGACACTCGAGGAGCAGGAAGAACTCCGACTGCAGCGACTCATGAGCAGCCCTCCCATGTCACCCTCGCTCGGTAACAAGCGCACCTTTTCCAGCTCCTTTGCATCTGCCAATACCATCTCGACGCATCGAGAGCATACCCAGCAGATGGACGGGACCCAACCACAAGCATCCTCCATCTACGAGACGTGTCACCGGGCCAGCCTGCTTTCGATACACTCGGTGCTGGGTTTTGCGACTTGGCTTCGGTGTGCCGTCGTGCCCTCTCTCAAGGGCATCGCGCTCAGGGCCTTTCGGGCTGCCCTGTTTATCCTCACCTCCAGCCTGCCCGTCCTCACATCGTTCGTCTCCATCCAGGTGGATCGCATCGAAGTTTACATTCAGGAAGCCGAAGCTGTCGCCCGAATCGGCCGAGCTGGCCTCACCTTCTCCATGTCGCCCGACTCTTCTTCCGCCTTCTCAGGTACCCGCGAGACTTCACAGAGCTCCGACGACGCGATCGCATCGTCGTCCGCCCAGGAGCCTACCTGGAGCCGCTTCTTCGAAGCGATGCGCACCATGCCGACAAGAGTCGGCTCGGGTGCTCGAGACGTCTCTGCGTATCTCATTGCCGGCATGTCTCCGAGCACGATCGCCGCTCATCTCCGCATCGACAGCATCGACCTCTTCGAAGCCTCTTTCAAACCTGAGCCGACTCGCAGGCCGACATTTAAGCCAAAGTCGCGGCGAGACCGGGCTGCACCTTCTTCGGGACCATCGACACCGGTTTCCTCTCAGAAGCGCAATGGTCGTGATCTCTTCTCACCAAGTCAGTCGGACGCGGACCTGGATCTCGCAGCGTCTAGCTACGACGACAGCGTCGACTTTTCGCCCCGTCCCACCCACCCTAGACGAGCTCGCAGCAATAGCGCATCTCGCCTTTCCAAAATGCCTTCGGGCACGCTGCGAGGCTTTGCCGATCGTTGGGCAGACTGGGCCTTGGAGCCCTTGGTCGAATCCGACTTTCATGCCGACTCGGGCTGGTCTCGACAGCACACTGACGATGGCATCCCGCTACAGCAGCTTCAAACGATACCGGCGGCGGCGAGGATCGCATCCATCTCGGGCCTCACCGAGCTGACTGCAACCTTACTCGTGGGCTCGAACCTTGCGCTGGGAGGCGACCGCACCTTGGCCGCCCGGCTCAAGCTTGGGAACATCTCGGTCGGGCTCGATGCAGCTCACCGTGCCATGTGCATCCTCGAAGAGCGCAAGGCGCGCAGAACCGGATGGGCACCCACGCAGACAGGACTTCACGACGGACAGCGATCGGCTCTCTCCAAGCATCTGGTCCAACAGCGCCCTTCGACCTTTGCCTCAGCACTCTCCATGGTCTCTTCAGTGGCACTTTCCCTACCATCAGTCCGCCTCACTGCCTCTTCCGACGCGCTCCTCTCATCGTTCTCTCAAGGCGCAGATGTAGAGGGCCAAAACACGGCGGATGCCCCACTTCCATCGAGGGAGCTCGGCATTTGCATGACTGGCTTGAACGTCGAGCTCAAAGACAGCGATCCCAAGGACGACCTTCATCGTCGCTGGATCGGCACGTGCGGCTTGCCTGCAAAGACGTCGACCAGCAAAGGAACTCGGCCCAAGACAAAGAGCAAATCTGCCAATAGGCCTGCCTCGGAGCACAAGGGACCACGAATGCACGGCGGCACAGCGATCGAGCATCGACGCACCTTCCTCGTAGAGCTCAATCTGGCAAGCTTCGATGTACGTTGCGGTGCCAGTGGAAGCGGACGTGGCTCGCGGTTGCTCTTCGTCGGCGACGTCTCGGTGGTGGCGAGGTCTTCTTGGACCCCGTTTGGTTTGTTTGCAACGTGCCCCGAAGTGTCTCGCCTTCTATTGGCAAGCGATCCAAACGAGCACGCCACCGCGATAGAGGTGGCCGTTGGCGGAGTCGAGTCCGACATCTGCATGGACGACATCACCGCCATCCCTCCCATCACCGAAGAGTTCAGCAGGAGGAGGCAGATCCAACGCGCCAAGATCGGCATCGAGCAGCCTCCTCGGCCAAAGACGGACATCGAACTGCTTCGGCAGATCCCGAGAATCGCTGCTGGCATTCACGTCGAGCGCGTTTCGCTGGTGCTGGACGCGAGCCAAGGAAAGATGGAAGATGGTGCTCAAAGCTCGTCGCAAGGGCAAGCAAGCGCATCGGATGAGCATAGCTCGCGCAAGCTCGTGTTGACGGTGCCCAACGTCGATTTTGTCTTCTTTGGCGAGTACAAGGACGAGTATGTCAAGCGGCCTGCAGCCGAGAAGAGAGCTGCGTACAAGGCGCTTAAGGGCGACAGCCTCGAATGGCCCATCAGCGGGGCCACCGACCGGGCTGGTACCAAACGAGACGCAGTCGACCAAGGCGATCAGGCCGCGCTCGGGCTTGAGAATGGGCATGTCCCAGCCGATAGCCATCCTGCCGAACGATACACGGAGAGCAATCTCACCATGGAAGAGACATTGAAGCGCATGAGGGAGATGGAGCAGCCTCGCCCGCAATCTAGCGAAGGGGACAAGCCAGACACAGCACGTCGGTCTTCAATTCGAGACACCATGTCAAAGACAGGCAAGGTGCGGATGCCGGGATATTCGCGAAAGTCGACTCTGGCAACAGAGACTCGCTTCAGCCTCCGGTACCAATTCGAGACATCCCTGCGCGTAGATGCCGTCGAGTCTTTCTTGTCGCTGAGCTCGGACCCTCAGGACTCGTCCCGAGCCTTCCTTCGACCCCAGTCAACCCAGACCGCTCCCGCCATCGGATCGTCGCAGCACCATCTGCTGGCCCTGCACAGCTTTGAGGTGCTCGGCTCCGGCCGTATCCCGGGCATGGCAGAGCCTCGAGGCTCCGCTCTCTGCGTTGATGTTCCCGTCTTGTCCGCAACGGACACTGTTGCCGAATTTCGAGCCAGTATCGAAGACATCGACATCGAGGCGTGGCACATCTCGGCGCTGGATACCTACGCCGATATTGCTGCTGCCATCATCCGGGCGAAGGCACCGCATCAGAAAGACATAGGAGACTCACACAACGCAGGCAGCGTCGATGCTGATTCACACGCAGACCATGCTAAATCGAGCCCGGCTGCGGAGACAAAGGTCAAGCCCAAACCCTTGGTCGAGCAATTGCCCGGAGGCTTGGCGGTCTACCTCTCCGTCGGACGTACCATCGCTCACCTCGGTGGTCCAGATCGTCGCATCGAAGATAAGATTGCGCGCGGCGTGGGTCTCGAGGCCGAGCGCATCGTCATTGAGTATGCCGGGGTGGCAGAGACCAAGACCAACTTGGCGGCGCCAAAGACCAACTGGGGCGCGCGCACTGCTCTGGAGCTGTCGGAAGATCTGCAGTTGCAAGGGCAATCGCTGGCCGCAAGACATCCTCGCGTAGCACTGGCGCGCGTCGTCCTGCACCAAGCCGGCATTTTCCCAATCCTCGATGCCGAGTTTGCTACCAAACAGCACACCGAAGGCACTGCATCGGAAAGCTTCGCACAGGCAAAGGCTGGGCAAGGCGAAGCATGGCCCAAGGGGGAGGAGACTTTGGATCGCCCTGCCACGTCCTTGCTCGCCGAGAACGTCTGGACCTTCAAGAAGGACGATGCGCGTGTCCATGCATCCAAGCAGCATCGTCCCAGGTTCCGCCAGCAGGATCGAAGCAACTTTATCTTCTTCACGCCGTATGCTGCATGCAAAGCGGTCGTGCGTCCTCCTCAGTCTGAGGACAAGGCGCCATCAACGGGCACGAGCGAAGACGAGGTCTTGATTACGAGCGAGCACACCAAGCTCGTTTCGTTCAACATCGACCTTCTCCACACCTACTGCTTCCTCTTGGCCTTCTCCACCTTCAAGCACCTCGCACTTCGAGCCAAGGGCGGCGTGGACACCAGCGCGAAGGACGAATCATCTCACAAAACAGGATCCAAACAGTCCGAGCCATCGAACTCGAAGCATCCCAAGCCGAGCGTCTCTTGTCGATTCGACATCAACGAAGTGCATACCTTCGTGATGCTGCCGAGGTCAACACGTATCTTCATGCGAATTCGAAGGCTTGAAGTGCGTCAAGATCCGCGAAATGGCCTGTCGGTGTCTACAGAGTCCATCATGGGCGCGGTGGAGAGTCCCAAGCATGTGACTGGCAACGTCTGGGAAGAAGCCGTGCGTTTGCGAGACTGGAGATGCACAATGCCTCCAAAGGTCCCGGACCAGAAGCCAAGCATCCTTGTCAGTGGGGACGCAGCACTCATCCGCATTCCCTACGGGTACCTCGTGTATTCCATCATCGACAACACCTCTGTGGCGATCAAGGCGACCAAGCAGCTCTTCTATCAATTCCTTTTGGACAAGGACGATTCGGCTATCGCACCAGTGGCGGAGGACCCGAAGCTGCTCCCCAACATCACCTTCAAAGTGCGGGTGTTGACGATCGAAGCCGAAGACGATCCATTTGAGACCAAGCTCAATCTCATCTGGCGTGCAGGGCTAGCTGAGAACGCCGCCCGCGACGAGAGGGAAGCCGCTTTCGCTGCCAAGGCCGAAGCGATCGGAGCATCCAGGATGCCGCAGGGCAGCACGTCGTTCCGTTCGAGCCGAAGCGATGGCAGCGCCATGTCAGCAGCTTCATCCATCCGAAGCTTCGACGATGATGATGACAGCTACTCCAGTACGACCTCACACGACGCTCGCTCCACTAAGTCGAAGCATCAGCACGTCAGCCTCGCACAAGCCAGGATCGCTTTGAACGCCTTCAACTCCTCCAGCTGGGTTCGAAGATACCTCAACGCCCAGTCGGAGCAGTCGCGTCGTCAAGAGAGACTGCGGAAGACCACCTACGGACGCTTTCACATGTCGAGGAGCTTTGACGAGCTTCCGGTCAGAGTCTTGCCCATCGGGAAAGCAGCGCCACTGTTGCGTTCCACGATGTACCGGGTGGCTCTGCAAGTCGGCCAAGCTCACTTTCCCATCGACGAATTGCGCGACTTCATCCACGAGAAAGGAGCCGGCGTGCCCAAGGATACTCCCTACTCGCTCGTCATTCCTTTGCACGTTAAGTGGGAGATGGGAGAGTGGCGCGTCAACCTGCGCGACTACCCGATGCCGTTGCTCCACGTTCCACCGACGCATCGCGCTGAGAGCGACACTCGAAAGGCTTGGTGCTTTGAAGGCGACATTGTCATCGCAGAGCAGCTGGGAGGGCCCGAGTCAATCCGACACGTGCCAGCCGTCATCGTTCCAGCAGCCACGGGTCGGTCTGACGCAGTCGAATACGGAATCATCATCCCAAAGGTGGCTATGTCCGTCAAGGCATACGGCACACCGACGATCAGGCTGCGGACGCCATATCCGACACGTGTCGTGTGGGGCCAGTCGATCCAGCCTACGATCCAGGATGTGATGCGGGTCATCGACGCGATCACGCCGCCTCCGCACGATCCGTCGCCCAAACTCGGCTTCTGGGACAAATTGCCACTGATCCTTCACGGACACGTCAATCTCAAATTCGAGGATGAAGGCGGCTTCAACTTCCATATGAAGGGCAGTCGCGATCCATACAGCATCGAAGGTCACGGTGCCGGTTGGGTCAAGTCCTGGAAAGGCGGTGTGGAGATCCGTCTCGGCTACGACAACCCAGAGAAGGAGTTCTTCCAGATCCTGAGTCACGAGTACGTGCTTGCGATCCCAGATCTGTGCGACTACGTCGATCACGCAGCCACGGGTATGCAAGACGATAGCGAACATTTATCCGAACAGCGACAGCAGTCGCACGATCACGACGCCGACGGCAGCTTTCACGAGTCGGAGGATCGCAAATCGGTGAATGCGTCCTTCACGTCGAGCATGTACCGATACATGAAGGACCCCACGTTCCGCAAGGTCGTCATCAAACTCACGAACGGCGTTCGCTGGGGAGCGGGTCTGCGCGGAGAACGCACCTGCGACGACGATACGTGTTCACGCCAGCACAAGTGCAAAGGGGAACCCTTCTACCGTGAATGTCGCTATTTCGATCGCATCAAGCATTGGGATGTGATCCCGAAGACGCATGAATACTTTGACTCCATCCCCGAAGATGAGCGACGTGATTCCTTCGGTGGCTGGCGGTCGCACCACCTTCATTTTGCCATCTCGGTGTTCTCGCCCAAGAACGGCCTTCCCGGCTACAGTCGCAAACGAAAGGACGCGAACTGCGATGCGCAGAACAATTTCTACTTCTCTCCGCTGGCATGGGAGCACTTCTGGGCCTGGATGAGACTGTTTAGTAGCGCTATGAGTCTGCCCATTCGTGCCGGCAGCCTCTTCCCCGACAGCCCGCCTCCTTCGCCCAAATTTGGTCGCTTCTTGGGGACCATCAAGTACAGGATCGACCTCGCGCCTCTGTTCATCGCACATCAGTACCGGCAATTCAGCAAGGAGGAGTTTTCGAGGGGCTATCGCACCCACGTCGGCGTCAAGGCTCGTTGCGATTCCTTCACGCTCGACATGCATCAACGTCAGCAGGAGACAGTCAAGGAGCGCCCCGAACTCGGCGAGCCTCGCATTGTCTTCCACAAGCCCTTCTACGAGGCGGAGATGACATGCGACGAGATCGACCTCCGAGCTATGGCTGCTCGCTTACGCGACGAGACTGGCATGCCCGAAGCTGCCGAGGATCAAGAGATTGGCGAAGACGCCTTTGACGAAATCTTTGCAGAGGATTCCATCGTGTCGGACGATGAGCTGGTCTGGATCGACATGAACGATTTCGTTGAGATTGACTCGGCGGCCATTAAGGAGGATTCGCCTCAGGTTCGATTGTTCCCAGCTTTGGTGTGCCCGCAGTTCAACTACTACCGCAAGAAGGATTCCGAGCTGGAGCACATTGCAGGTGAGAAGGAACACATCATCAGAGAGGAGGGCAAACGTCGCAGCGATGACTCGCAGGATCGCGAGAGTATCCTTCGCAGACTCGAACGCAGCAAATTTGGTAACGAGCATACGCACACGTGCATGGTCGGCAAAAACGACAGGCCTTACGACATCCAGCGCAGGCTCGCACAAGACCGACTGCAGGTCATCCGTAGCCAGATCGATCATGTCTTGAAGTCGAGCGACCGCGACGTTTCCGATTCCGAGACAGAGTCGGAGAGCTCTCATGGCCACCAGAACCGCCTCGACAACCTACACAGTCGTGAAAGGATCCTCAGTAGCTTCATCTCGCACATCGGACGTATTCAGGAGCACACCGACCGTGCTGAGCGGCACCGAAGGGCGGGTCAGCCCAGTCCGAAGATGTCATCATCGCCAAACGACCGCAACTTCCAGCTGAGCGCTGCCGACCTCGCCTCGCTCTACCACGATCTCGGCATGTTCGACAATCGCTACGTGGCTCACAATCCCACGCTCTTCTTCAGCAACGTCACCCGTTCCCTCCTGCTGAAGTACTACTACAGCTCGCGCCTGAGGCGAGGTTACGCGCACCACATGACGGCGACGGCCGTCAGATACATCCGAGACCTGTTCAAGAAGAAGGACAAGGGCGGTCGCGAATCGGACAGCTCCAAGCCGCGGCACGTCAGCTACATGGGTCGTGCCCCGCAGCAATCGACGCCCGGTGCGGAGGCTGCAGAGGGCCTGGACATCCTGCACGAGATGCTCGAGGACACCGTCAATCACATGTTCGGCAAGAACGGATACAGCACGTCAGGCTGGGGCTGTCAGCCCGAGGCCGATGGCATCGATGCGTCCGACGGTCAGATCCGGCCCGACGACGGCATCTCGGACGACTTCAATGTTGTCAAGAGCAACGTCCTGTTGCTGTTGAAGCCCCAAGTGGTGTTGCGCAGTGAGATCGATGACAATTCCACCGTCATCGTTTCGGCGCTCCGCACGCGACTTCAAAATTACACAGTGCGGGATGAGAGCTGTGCGGAAGACTCTGTCAACGCCGTCGTCCTCCGGCGAAATTTCTTCGCCCTTGACAATCTGCAATGCTTCCATCCGAACGCGAGCGCGCAGAGCAAGGTCAAGAAGCACGCCTTTGTGTCTCTTCCGCTCGAGGCGCTCATCGACATGCACGGTCACGGAGGCGACTTCGAGCGCATCGTGCCGCACACCAACGCCACAATGTACTACGATAAGTTCAATAAGCTCCGCCTTTCGGACTCGTCACGATCGGTCTCGACGTTCCGGAAGGACGGCAAGCCGGTCCAGGATCACCTGCATCACCACATGGACATGATCTTCCTCAATTGTCCGCGCTTCTCCGTCTCTGCCAACGGTGAGCATTTTGCAGCCTTGTACAACGTAGTGACGGACCTCATCCTGTATCGAGACCCGGCACATCGCGACCATGCCAAGAGGCTGGAAGAGATGATGTTTAGCTACGACTTTACGGACGTCTCTGGCCTAGCCGACATTGTGACGGAGCTCCAGGTTCGCATTCGCGAGGCCCGCTCGCTGGTTGACCAGTACATGCTCGTAGCGCATCGTCTCAACGAGCGCGGCAGGGCGGAATTCGTGGGGTTGCTCGGCGAAATGGTGGAACTGGTGGAAGAGCTGAACCTGATCATGGACGCCATCACCACATCACAGGACAGCAAAGGCGGTGCGGACCGTGAGAAGAAGTCGGCTCTGCGCTTTATGGCACAGGCGCAGGAGGTGGCGTGGAACATGATCGGCGACGAGGCCGGGCAGCTGGTGGCCAAGTTGGCTCTGCGCGGCATCAGCTTCTCCTGGCTCAACAAGGCAGACAATTCTGCGGCCAACACAGTTTCAATTCGAGACTTGCAAGCGCTGAACGTCGATCCCAACGCGATGTTTGCCGAGATCATCACCAAGCATACGCGACATCAAGATCACCCGATGGCCAGAGAAGGGCGATTCCTCGATGCAATGTGGAGCGTGCTGCCTCCTGTGGGAGGTATCTCGATCGTCGACACGTTCGAGTTCAACCTGCATCCGGTCAAGATCCAGATCGAGCTCAAGGTGGGCCGCAAGATCACGGACTATATCTTTGGCACCAAGCGGCAACGCGAAAAGCAGGAGGAGGAGCAGAAGCGCATCGAGGACGCTGCCAACCGCCCGTCCAACACGGTCGCCAAGAAGAAGTCCCCCTTGGCACGATTGCTCGGCGGTCGCAAGCAGAACTCTTCGTCGGCGGGTGGATCTTCCGACGGATCACGGAGGGACAGCATGAACGCGAGCGCGCAAAGCTTGTCCACCACTGCGCCGCCTTCTCGCAGCGCATCCACTAACGATTTGATGTCCACGGGCCGTGAGTCCTCCGATGGCTCGAGGGAGGACGACGGCGACAGTAATTCAGGTCGCGCTCCTCCGAAAGCCATGACGGCGAACACGCTTAAGGGTAAAAACTCGCCCAAGTCTCGACCGGGTACGCCGAGCAGTGGTAAGGACCTCGGCACCGGCGACCAGCGCTCTACCGACCAGTATGCCATTGCGCAACGCAACGCTGCCGAGATGCGATCTCGAGCATCTGCCTACCGCACTTTCGTCTACGTCAAGATCTCGCAGACCATCTTTTGCCTCTCATACAAGGGCGAGAAGCAGAAGTCGATCACGGATCTTTACGACCTCGTCTTCCGGTCTCCCACCTTCGAGTACCACAACAGCACGTTTGGCTACGTTGACCTCGCGGACAACTTCAAAAAGGACGTGCTGAAGGCGGCGTGGAACCAGAAATCGACCTTGTTGCGGGACATCATCACGCACCGACCCAACAGGAAGCGCAATGCGATCGAGAGCATCCGTGCAATCCGACAGGCCTCGCGCGCCAGAGACGCGCGGACACCGCTCGATGTCACTGTCGAGCCACCGACGCCCAACGGTCGATCATCGTTCGATGGCAGCAGCAGCCATCTGGCCGACTCTCCAACGGACACTTTCAGCTATCGCGGCAGTGAAGAGCATCGAGACGACGACGAGGATTCCGGCTACGGCGATGTCTACGACGACGACGAGGTGCTTCGCACGGATAGTCCCGACAGTCACAGCGAGGACGGGCTGGGCCACGACGGTAGCCGCAACGGCGCAGGCCAAACCCTCGCCGGTCAGATCCGCGACGCTTGGGGGCGAAGCAACAGCAACGAAGCCGCGTCGCAGCCCGTCTCCAACCATTCAGGCTCGTCAGGCGAAGTAGACGACCTCTTGACTCCGCAGCAGGAGAACCAGCCACGCCGCTTCCCCTCGCTCGGCCGGTCTTCGCGCACGCCCACCTCCGAAGGTCCCCCCGCGCGCAGCCCCTCCCCCTCGTCCTCCGGCGTCGTGCCGTTCAAGCTGAACAAGCTCATCCCAAAATCTCTGCGGCAGCGCACCGGCAGCGCTTCCGGAGCGAGTGGAAGCGGTGAAAGTGGAGCAAGGCGGAACAGCTACCATGCGACCAGTCCGCTGCACGAGGCGGGGCTGGCGAGGAACAATGGCGAGAGAGCGACCAGTGGCGAGTTTGGTACGAGGCAGCAGAAATGAGATGCTAGGTCGGGGGTGGTGGATCGAACACAGAGAAGAGTAACACGATCTTTTCACGGAATAGAGATGATGATGACTTACGATTGCTTCGACGTGTGAGTGTGCAGTCAACAGTGAGATTGACATGTCAAGCTGAGCGATCCGCCCCGACTCGTCATCACCGTGCTGTATCGGGCGAAAGTTGACCACATCAGAGTGGACGATGAGGACCAAAATGCGGTGCATCTGGCTCATCTCCGCTCGTGAAGCGCCTGCGCTGCCCGAACTTTCACTCATCTCGGAGCTTATGCACATCTCACACGATCCTGGAATGATGTACGGCAGACGCAACGTTGCAATGAGAGGGTATGGGTGTCATGCGACATTAAGTGTGCGTGTGCAAAGCTTTTCGGAACAGCAAACATTCCAGCAGTTGGCACGAGCGATTCCTTCGTAGTGTAGAGAGCAGGATGCCCAACTTAGGCCACCTGCAGAGGGTTGGTCTTGTTCTTCTCCTGCTCGTCCGGCAGAGCCGAGGGGGACGAGTTCCACTCGCCGACCTCGCTTCCCTGACCGGACTCCTTCTCCTTGATCTGGTCCCTCGATGTGTAGCCAGCAGGCACCCACTTGGTCGAGTTCCACGCCTTGCAGTTGGGATCGTTGTACATGGCATCGACGTCTTCGAGCGTCAGATCCGCCGACTCGTAGACGAAGAAAAACGCAATGATGCAGTTGGCCAAGTTGCAGCCGGCAAAGACGAAGCCGTAGGAGAAGTAGATGTCGTTGGCGATGGGCGAGGAGAAGTAGGAGATGAGGAAGTTGGACACCCAGTTGGCGAGTGTTGCGAGCGAAGCCTGCTTAGCGCGGGTGCGGTAGCTGAAGCTCTCACCGATCCAGATCCAAATACCGGGCGCCCAGGTGCTTGCGTAACCCAAGATGAACATGCACGCCGAGACGATGAGCAACTTGCCCACGCCCTGCGAGATCTGCTCCGGCCTCGGACCACCCACCACACCGGCAATGGCGAAGACGAACAGCCAGAACGATTGCCAAGCGGCACCGTAGATGAGCGGCCACCTACGACCGAATCGCTCGAGGATGTAAAGTCCGAGGAATGTGCAGGCAAAGTTGACGGCACCGAGGATGATCTGCGTCACGAAGGAGTCGTTGAGACCAACTTGCGTGAAGATGGCCGTACCAAAGTAGAAAAAGTAGTTGGCACCTGTAAACTGCTGACCGGCCTGGAGGGTCATACCGAGGAGCGTACGGTAGAGCGTCTTGTTGCGAGGCTTGAAGCAGTCGATCCAACCAGCTTCCTTGATCTTCTCGTCGGCTTTGACGACCGAGATGATGTCCCGGTACTCGGCCTCGACCCAGGGGTTGTTGTCGCCGTACTTTGCGCCTCGCACGGCTGCACAGGACTTGTAGGCTTCTTCGTTGCGGCCTCGTGCGGCGAGCCATCGGGGAGACTCGGGGCAGAACAGAATGCCGACAGCGAGGATCGAGGAGAAGAAGATGCCGAGGGCGATGGGGACGCGCCATTGAGCTGAGTTGTTGTAGCCTCTCGTGCCGATGTTTGTACAGTACGCGAGCAAAATCCCGAAGGTGATAAAGAGCTGGTATGTTCCAACCAACGCTCCTCGTACTTGTCGTGGTACAGTTTCACTTTGGTACAGTGGAACCGCGGCAGAGAGGGCTCCAACTCCCAATCCGGTCACCAATCTGCCGATGGCGACCTGTTCCCAAGAGAGGAAGGAGGTGACCTGGATGATGACGCCAATGTCGAAGACGATGCACTCTACGACCATGGCCCAACGACGACCGAGTTTGTCGGCAAGGGGAGCGCCAATGAGCACGCCAATTGCGGTTCCAACGCTGAGCAGGGAGACAACCACACCCTCAAGCCAGGGGTTCCAATCCTTGCCGCCAACGGCGGAGGGGTCATCGACAGTTGCAAAGCGACGTTTAAAGTCCTCCATCTCGAGAAGACCAGAGATTTGACCAGTGTCTGTGGAGGATTGAAAGGCACAGAATCGAATTGTTAGCTTCACAGATCGATGCTGAAGATTCATGAGAGTGTGCTACGTACCCCAACCGAAGAGGAAACCACCCATCGAGGCCAGAGCCGCGATGAAGATGGTGAGGGCGCCGATGGGCGTCCCGCGAACTTGGAAGACCATTTTGGGCGGGAAGCGTGTGAGTTTTGCTGGTCTCTTCTGACTGACGAGTCGCAACGAAGGGAGGCGGGATTACGAGCGAGAAGATGTGTGTTGAGAGACCCAAGGGGAGCGGGACGGGGAAGATTCACGATCAAGAGGACCTCTTATAGTATCCTCGCGATAGCGTCACTGGGGCCCGAACCCACACTTCAAAAACTGCCAGCGGCTGCGGGCCGCCTTTTTTCATCTCAAAAGAGGCCATTGCGGCGGGGGGCTCGCAAGGGGCCTGCTCCTGCACCCACCGGGGCCAAGATGAGCCGGATCAGGCACGACCCCTCTTCTGTGTCGCACCGCATGCCAGGCGTCAGCACGACCGAAAGAAAAAAGTGGAGCGCTCGTCCAGGTCGGCAACTCAGACCAAAAAAAAGCGCGTCAGTTGATCCGGAGAATTCTTTCCAGACTCCGCTCTCCGTGGCAGTCAACAGAGGGAAGGTTACGAAATGGCTGTTGCTCGACGATTCTTGGCAGCCGAGCCCCTCTTTCCTGCTCCAGGATCTCATTGGACCGTCATAGTGGGCTCCGCAGTGCCCGTGACCCCATTGTGCTTGCCTTGCAACCGTGGGTCCCCTCGATTGGCCCCACGATCTTCGAATATGCATCCTTTCGTTTCTTCGAGGACATGCATCAAGGCGAGCACGACCTCGTCTCCTGAGTTCACGTGTGCCCCTTGTTATCGCGGTACAGCATCGAACAATCGTCTCTGGACGATGACATTCGAGTCCATGCGTAAGAACAAGGGCCAAGCGAAATTTGTCGGCATCGGGAGAGGCTGAAGATAGCCGGTCAACTCGACCTCAACCGACCGTGCTGTGGGTCAGGAACATGGTAGACGGCGGCGCGACACTTCTTGGCTTGACCTGCTCGGAACTCAGGATCCGAAGTCGTCGCCAGCTTCCTCTACGTCCGCCGCGCTATTTCCGGTCGAGGCAGCGTCACAGCGTTGCCCTCATGCCCGTTTGCATCTCGTCGGTCCAAGGCACACCCGCGCTCAACAGGCGTCTTTGTGTGAAGCCAAATTTGAGCGAAACCAAATGCTTCCATCCCATCGATCTTGATTCGTTGCAATGCGAGCAAGCCGTAGCGTCTCCATCCATGACCCACGTCCAGCAGCGAGTCGAGATCCAAATTTGCAGCTTCTCGGGCTGGCATCGGAGAATTTTTCGAATGCTTAAATTTCAAAGGGCGCGCGATCTGCGGGCGCTATCACGAGGCGATCAGGGCGTGACATCATTTTGCATCTGCGCCTTGCACGCGGTCACGTCGGCCCTTGTTTTCCGGTGAGGCGCTCGTCCGAGTCAGGCACAGCATGAAACGAACCCCAGATTCGTCCCCAAGCGCAAGCGCGGTACCATTGGTGCGACCGTCTTGTGGGCGAGACGGTGTGCAACACTGTTCGGACTCGAGGCGCTGTCTAATGACCGTGCACCGGCTGTGGTACCAGCGATCACATGGCGTCGCATCCGACTTCCGATGTGCTCGGTAGATGACGTCGGATTGGTGTTGAAGCTCGCTTGTGCGTTGCCTGACAACAGCTCCTCGCTTCTTCGCGCACAGTTCTTGATGCCGATTCGTCAGGAACGAGACCGCTGAGCTGTCCTGTCACGGTCTCTTAGATGTGAGTATTGGTCAAGGCGATTCGAGATGCGGGGTGGTTGGTTGCCTGGAGGAGAGGCTGTCGGATCTGCGGGGTTGTTTCTTGCCGTCCAAAAGGACCGCGACGCCTCAGGAGTGGTCGCGCCGGGCATCCGGCCGAGCATCGAAGAACCTAGAAGTGTCGGTCCGTCAAAGAAGGTCTTCTTGGCCGCCACGCCCGGTTCAGCTAGGCTCGTATCCACGGCTGCAGTGACGTGCGAGCTCAAGGATAGCTCAGATCGACGGAGGGGTCATGCCGCCGCGCATCTGGCAGCGGGGCGGGCTCGCCCACCGCCATCCCTTCACCGCCAAGGATCAGGCAGCTGCTACTTCGTCCAGGACCATCGCACCCGCCGGTCCAGCTGCAAAGCGTCCCAACGGTCCGTCGTCGCCGCGCTCCCGAGGACCTCATCAACTACGAGGATGGCTACGGTGCTGATCTGGCAGACACCGAGGCTGAAGTGCCCCAGCACGAAAAGCCCAATTACAAGCCGTCTGTTCTACGCTCGTCGTAGCTGGCGCATGAACACTTTACGGAGCATCTGACAATTTGCGAGCTGCGGTCTCAAGGCCACCGCTGTCCCACAGACGAGCAACTGGGCGCCGCGGCTCGCGATGTCCAAGCGCAGATCGAATCGCGAGAATTGTCCGATTCGCTCCACCAGGCCCTTCATGACGAGCAGGTCTGGGTGACGTATCTCCACATGTACGACGTGACTGGCAAGGGTCGCATCAATAACCAAACGATCCAGCATACCAACCTCCGCAATTTCGATCGGGAGGATGCCAATCGCTCCCGTGGATCTCGTCTTGGCCATGCTTCTGAGTCTGGCCCGCCTGCTGCTGCCGCGTCCTCCGTCCATGCTCTCGCACAATCTCGTGCGTCTCTCCTTCTGCCTGTCGATCTCAACCTTGATCTTGCTATCTCCCATCCCGCTGAGGCATCCCCCGTTAGTGGCTACGACCTTCGCTCGGTCCACGCAAGCGCGGACCAGCGTCACTCTTTGGCGGAAGAGGTATGGAATGGGCAAGACGACGATAGCGCAGATTAGTCTCCCCGCCTATGCCGACGTCAACGACGCAGACACAAAGGATCTCTAGGGAGCGGAATCTATGGTGAACAATCTTGGGCTCTTCCAGTGATAGCCGTTGAGCCTGGGCCTCCCCGCGAGAATACGCCTTCGAGCTGATTTGCTGCGACCTGTCAAGTTCAGCGGTCATGTTTGAGAATTCGGATCTCGGATTTTTTCACGCCGGGCGCGCTCAACCCTGTTTGACTTTTTCGCAACTTCCTCTTCCGCTGACTTTCCAAACACCACCTCAACCTCACCCTTAACAGCCTCGTCAAAAAGCAATCATGTCTCTCTTTGGTCTCGGAGGTGGCTCTGCCCCAGCAAACACTAGCGCCGTCAGCTCGGCCCAGATCGAGGCTGCCACCGCCGAACTCGAGATGGTCACCGATGTTTTCAACCGCCTCGTCTCGTCTTGCCACGCCAAGTGCATCTCGACAAGATACGCCGAGCCCGACCTGAACAAGGGCGAGAGCATCTGCATCGACAGGTACGTACCATATGCAATTCAGCAGACCGCAGAAGCGATACAAGAGGTTTGCTCACTAGGACCGCTTGATCTCATTCTGCAGATGCGTAAGCAAGTTCTTCGCCGTCAACGGAAAGGTCAACGAGCTCATGCAGTCGATGGGCCAGGCCGCACAGGGCGGCGCCCCAGGAGGATCTGGATCGTTCTTCGGTTAAGCACAGACATCATTCTCGAAACATTGCATTGTTACACCGATCGACCTACACGCAGCCCGTGATTGCTGTGCAAGGGTGAACGAGAGAAGGTGGAGCGCAGGGAAAGGTTTGGTGCTCGATTCGGGTCTCGAAGATGAGCGAGGACGGGCAGATCTGCTCAGCAGAAGGCGTTCTGGCGCCAAAATTGGAAGAGCCAAGCGCTGCTGACAGGCTCGCCTTCGTGTCCCATGTGCGGGAACCATCGGAGGAGTGCTCCAGGGCCGTGTTCGGCAAGGATGCGCTGGTCGTCTGTGGGTCAGCAATGGAAGAAGAGGTGGCAAGTCAGCAGGAGCCTTTCTTCACGCTTGACTTGGCCTGCCCTCTGAGTGCGTCAGACTTACCGATGGGGAAGATGGTGTCCTGCTCGCCGTTGACTGCGATCAGCTGCGTCGCGTCTTCATCAAGAATGCCTGTGCCAACCAAGACAGCATCCGAGCATAAGCGGTCATCACTCTCAGCCCGATCAAGCGACGGTTAGACCTCGTCTACGTACCCTGACGAAGTAGTGAGAACTTCTCGACGTCTTTCTTGAACGATTCCGCGTCGGCGTAGCCGAAAGCTCGACCTAGAGCTCGTTGCAGGCTGAATGGATAAGCGAGCTTCTCTGCCGCCTCTAGCCAGCTGAGCAACGTCCGTCACGAATACAACAGAACAGTGAGAGTCAGCTCGTGAGCGGCATCGCTTGCTTAGGATGGGGTCCGTTTGCCATTCGGGCGCGGACTTACGTTCTGGTAAACGCATAGTGGCTTGCGGTTCCCTGGCTCACTACCCTTTTGACGCGATCCTTCTCGACTCGCGAGACTCGCACAGCCCAATACGAGCCCATCGACAGGCCCCAGAAGCTGACGCATTTTGGCTTGAAGAGCTCGGGGTTGTAGGAAAGCCAGTCGACGATGCTGGTCCAGTAGTCCTTGCCGGCCAATTTGTCGCTACCGGTGATGGGCGAATCGGCCGTGCCAGGCATTGGGACGACGACCACGGTGAAGCCGTACGAGGCCAAGGCCGAGAGTTGACTCAGCAGATAGGTGTGATAGTGGTCAAGACCAGTGATGATGACGATGGTGGACTGCGGTCCTTCTGCGCCTTTTGCTCGGAACACGCGAAGCGGAATGTCTATCGAGCAGATGACCGAGGTGAGGGTCAGATCCTGTACCGACTCGGGCCGACCATCAGCCACGAAGATGTACTCACCTAGATCTTCGTCGCCCGCGAGAGAAGCGGTCGCTTTCGAAAAGTCGAAGATGTCCATTAAGCTATCGAAACAGAACAGGGTATCAGCAGCCTGCTGCCAACAAGATCAAAGGCCCCGGTCATCAAGATAGAAGGCACGGCAGAGCAGCCTCACTTACCGAATCGCACGCCAAAAGGCTCTCTTGTCCATCTTCCATGCGTAGAGCTTGACTTTGGACTCGCTTGTCCTCTCATGAACCCAAGGAAAGTAAGCGAGTCGGAAGACATTGGCGGCCCTCCTACGTCGCAAAGGCGAGGGTCGGCCGGTGATCAGAGAGGGAGCGGGCTCGCCCCGTACCTACATGTAAAAAGCGATGGCTTCTTGCGTCGAAGAATTAGAGCGCAGATCGTCTGCAATCTTGATCAGCTCGTTGCCTTTGAAGACAAGGGGCTCGGCCCATGCATCCTCAGCGAGATCATCGACAGTCTGGCCTGGATAGGCAGCCTGCAGCAGCTCAAATACGGGAGCAAAGTCGTCTGGTTCTGCGTACTCGTCCACGGGGAATGCTTTGCGCTGTAGCTGTTGGTAGTCAAGCCTCAACAGTAGTCGCAAGGTTCAGCAACGAATGAAGCATACTCCTTTATCGTCTGGTGGCAAAGGCACAGGAAAGGACTACCTACGGCGACTTTGAGGAAAGACGCGTACCAAGTCGAAATTGAGTCATGATACGGATACGGCGACGTCTTGTTCATAGCGGGCTGTCCGAAGGTTATGAAGGCGTCCGTTGAGTCGTCGATGGTGGCATCAGCATGCGTTGTGGAGAACAAGAAAAGCAGGGCGCAGCTCAGCTGCAGCAGAGCCAAAGGACTCCTCATGATGGCAGAACCCGATCGGTTAGTCTGCTTTTGCAGAGAATCGGTGGTGGAAGATAGAGGCGGTCTCGTATGGGCACACAGACAGCACGCTTGCCGATGAAGGCCAGACTATATATGTTCGGACGCTAACCGGCACAAGTCTCCTGGCCGCTTGCTTGTGCTCTTGTGCTCGGTTTGCTCCGGTCGCGCTGGCTACGGCCTGGGCGCTCTTTGGCAGCCTACGAGGCAAGAGCAACAGCAAGGACAAAGGCACTTCTGCTCGAGCAGCGCTCAAAATGGCAAGGTTTGGCGCAGCAACGTGTGACAGAAGTAAGTTAAAGTGATGCTCAAATGGAGCTTCGGCGAAACCAGCGGCGCAAGGCGACTTGTGTAGATGCAGGGCAACAGCGTTTTGCGCTTGGCTAAGCCCGGTGGAGCTCCACTTTAACCTTGAAATTTTGGGTCAAATGAGAAGCTTTCGGGAGTCGCCTTCCCACGCATGCGCATCTTCACGACCATCACACTGTCACATCACCACCGCTTTCGGCACTTCCGCACCGCATCAGCCAGGCTCTTCGGTCAGTAGCAGTGCGAGTCTCTGCGCACAATCAGCAATCTCGGAATCCCAGAAGCAATCACAATGGCGGCCACATCCGAGCCAGCACCTGCGCCAACACGGAACGAGCGCAAAGCTTGCTGGTCACATCGAGACAGCTACTTCGCATGCTTGACACAGAAGGGCGTTACAATTCCACCAGGGACTGACATGAGCGATGGAAGGGGACCGATTGGCAAAGCCGCCAAGGAGGAACAGGAGAGGCTCGACAGGGAAAGAAAGCTCAGCGTGGAAGAAGCACGCAAACAGGACCCCTGCCTCGCAGAAAGGCAAGGCTACGAGACCAACTGCGCGAGAAGCTGGGTACGTTCGCTAGAACAGCTATCGTGTCGGCGCATCCGTCTGAAAAGTGACTGACCATAACGCACTTCCATTTGATCCTGCAGGTCGACTACTTCAACAAGCGAAGAGTGCTCGAAGAGCGCCAGCGCATGATGTACCAACAGGCAGACATGAATCGACCAAAGAGCTGAGCATATCGAGCAGCTTGCACCCGTCACAACATCACCAGGGCCCAATGGCCTTCTCCGAGATGCCCGTTGAGCTGTTGACCACTCCGTGATCTTGGACAGAAGCTCGGCTTTCACACTCTCGTCAGTCAACCCACCGCTCAGCGTGGACGAAGCCAGCGCCCAGCTATATGCATGAGACAGCTGTCACTTCTGCATTTGCTCGGTCATCGCCACCCAAGCTCAATCACATTCATGCTCAGCTCGCACATCCATTCCTCAACGCAATCGCATTTGTATTTCATCCATCTCGGGTTGCCCGACCGAAGCGCCGAGGAATTCGTCACATGACCGTTTGGCCGCGAGGAATGTGATTCTACATCAAGCTCTGTTAGCCTTGTGATCTCAGTGTAACGTCGCCGAGGGCAAGCTATGAGGTGACCACACAATATGAAGCTCGTATGAGTCAAAAGGTGGAGTAGCAACGCTTTCTCGGGACACGGCCTGTCACAAGCCAGCAAGAATTTGAGCAAGAAATGCGCAGCAGCTGCTGTGTGCATTCATACCGTAGTCGCGCTTGGGACGCGCTCTCCTGTTCAATCTTCACTCTGCCTCCTTCACTCTGAACACGCCTACATCATCGCATCGATTCCGTCACGGCTTTGGCCATCATCATTCGGCCGTCACCGAAATCGGAAGGATCTCAAAGAGACTTTGATCATCTCCGTGACTTGGAGCTCCGCTCGCCTAGCATTGCAGTGGATGGAGGCGAGCTAATCCAGCCAAGTCACCCTTCGGTCAAAGTCGAATAACGGCTCGCCGAACACCGTGGTCGGGAGCCAAGGTCACAGCAACATGCCTTCCCGCGATCGTACACCAGATAGCTGCGCAAGTGGGCCGAGTCATGGCTCGAGGTCACCCTCTCCCGACGCTGGCGCAGCAGCACTCAAACGCAAGAGGTCGACAACTCGCTCGCCGTCCATGTCCAGCACATCGTCTCGCTCCTTGTCGGAATCTAGATCACCGCCACCACGGTCGAGGAGGAGAAAGTCGAGCAGGGGTCGCTCACCATCCTTCAGCAGCGATGAAGATTCAGCATCCAAACGAAGGGCCTCTCGTGCTCGCGAGGCGCTGGAACAAGAGACCAAGGCCAAGGAAACGGCAGCCAAGGGGGAAGCTTTGCGGTCCACGCTAGCACAACTCTCAGCAACAAAAGCAGGAGGCGCGTATATTCCGCCAGCTCGATTGAGAGCGCTCATGGCCGAAGCTGCAGCAGCGGATCCCGGCAGCGTGGAGTACCAACGCATGAGCTGGGACGCTCTCAAGAAAAGCATCACCGGTCTCGTCAACAAGGTAGCAACCGAAAACATCAAAAGCATTGTACCCGAGCTCTTTGGCAGCGCCAACCTCATTCGCGGTCGTGGTCTCTACTGCCGCTCCATCATGCGTGCTCAGGCTCTCTCCCTGTCGTTCACGCCCGTATTCGCTGCGCTCACAGCCATCGTCAACACGAAGCTCCCCATGGTCGGTGAGTTGCTCATCACCCGCCTCGTTTCCCAGTTCAGACGCTCCTTCAAGCGCAACGACAAAGCGGTGTGCAATTCAACGGCCATGTTCATCGCTCAGCTCGTCAACCAGAGGGTGGTCCACGAAGTGCTAGCCCTCGAAATCCTCGTGCTTCTTCTCGAGAAGCCCACAGACGACAGTGTCGAGATTGCCGTTGGCTTCATGCGCGAGGTAGGCGCTTTCCTGACCGAAGAAGCGCCAAAGGCTAACAACAGCATCTTTGACCGCTTCCGCGCTGTCCTCTACGAGGGCGAGATCAGCAAACGAGTGCAGTATATGATTGAGGTGCTTTCGCAGGTGCGTCGAGAGGCATTCAAGGATAATCCGCGCATCCCAGAAGGACTTGATCTCGTCGAAGAAGACGACCAGATAACCCACCGTGTCAGCCTGGATGACCAGCTCAATGTCGAAGAGGGTCTTAACGTCTTCAAGAAAGATCCCGAGTTCATCGAAAACGAGGAGCGGTATCGGTCCATCAAGGCCGAGATCCTGGGAGAGAACTCGGATAGCGACGACAGCGGCTCTGAAGCCGACAGCGAGTCTGGTTCCGACTCGGACGAGAGCGATGATGGTGGCAACGAGGACGACGCACAACGCCAGCTCGAGATTCACGACAAGACCGAGACCAACCTCATCAATCTTCGAAGGACCATCTATCTCACCATCATGTCCTCACTCGACTTCGAGGAGAGCGTTCACAAACTTCTCAAACTCGAAACGCCAGAGGGGCAGGATATCGAGCTGTGCAACATGATCGTCGAGTGCTGTTCGCAGGAGAGGACCTACAGCAAGTTCTATGGCAATATGGCCGAGCGATTCTGCAAGCTGCACCGCAAGTGGTCCGACACCTTTGCTCAGAGCTTCAGCAACTACTACGACACCATCCATCGGTACGAGACGAATCGGCTGCGCAACATTGCACGGCTCTTCGGCCATCTCTTGTCGACAGACAGCATCAGCTGGGCCTCGCTTTCCGTCATCCACATGAATGAAGAGGACACCACCAGCAGCTCGAGAATCTTTGTCAAGATCATGTTCCAAGAGTTGCAGCAGCAGCTGGGTCTCAAGGAGCTCGCAGAACGCTTCAAGGAGCCAAGTCTGCAAGAAGACTGGAAGGGGCTTTTCCCGAAGGACAACCCCAAGAGCACCCGTTTCTCGATCAACTATTTCACTTCGATCGGCATGGGTGTCTTGACGGAGGACATGCGAGAGTACCTCAAGAACGCACCTAAGATCTTGCTGGCTCAACGACAAGCAGCGCTGGCAGCACGAGGCTCAGACGACAGCGACACCGATTCATCCAGCGTCTTGACCAGCAGCAGTGGGTCCCGCAGTCGCAGCTCGTACTCTTCCTACTCTCGGTCGTCTCGTTCCTACTCTTCAAGGTCCTACTCGTCTCGGTCGTACACGTCCAGTTCTCGATCACGATCACGATCTCGATCTCGATCTAGGTCCCGCTCGCGCTCGTACTCGAGCCGATCCTACTCTTCACGCAGTCGCAGCCCACTGCCGACTCGGCGTCGCGGCAGGAGCCGTACAAGATCCGCATCGTACTCATCGTACTCGTCGAGATCAAGATCCAGATCCAGAGAGCGGTCGATCTCACGCTCCATCACTCCTCGACGCTCGTATTCGCGCTCGCTCTCGCGTTCGTCCTACGACTCTAGGCAGCGCGGGTCACATTACCGCTCCCGATCGCCGGATGCACGGGCTCGTCCCAGCCGGCGGTCTCCATCCAGGTCGATCTCACCCGAGCCAAGACGGAAGGATTCCAGATCGCGCTCTCCTCCGCAGCGAAACGGTCGCACTCGGCAGCGGTCTCCTTCGTACTCGCGATCGCCTTCCCCAAGGAGATAGGCACACATCAATGGGAAGGACTGGACTTCACTTCCTCTTTCACATTCGCAATGGTTATGGTGATGTTGAAGTCTTTTGATTGATCGGTGACGTGTCTATGATTGTGTGGCCAAGGCAGCGCTTGAGATCATGAGCGCGCTACCAGTTCGGATGTTCCGGTTCCGATTTGAGATCCTCGTCTGGGGGCAATCTGTACAGACCCTGATTCTCGATGTACTGGATGACGCTGTTGGGCAGCAGATACTTGATCGACTGACCGCGTCTGACAAACAGCCTCACCTTGGACGACGAGATGTCGTTGTAGATGGTCTGCTTGACGATCTTCAAGTTTCTTCTGTACTTCCAGAGCAGATCGTGTGAGAGCAAGAAAGACCAGACATCTGCGCCGGTCCTCTCGACGATCAAACATCCGTACTGGCCGAGGATGTGGTGCAGATCTGCGGTTGCCCAGACGCCCGGCTCACCCATGCTCTGGATCAAATCGCCTCCTGCCAGGAGCATGATCTTGACGTTCTTCCTCGACCCGTCGCTGAGTTGAACACCGCCGTTGGCCTGCCCATTGATCTCCTCGTGGAAATGGTCGAGCACCACCGCCGTCCGCTGGTACTCGTCCTGCAGCGCTTCCCACGCATCCACCATCAGCCAGGTTGACGTTTTCTCCACCGCCAGCTCGCACATGCGCACCCGATGCGTCGCCTTTGCCAGCCCTTCCTTCTTGTAATAGTCCGACACAGGCGAATAGTACCCTGCGAGCAACTCGTATTTGCCCGACTCGATGATCTGGTCCTTGGCCATCTCGAAGATTCGCAGGTGGAGGTAGGTGGGCGGAGAGAAACTCCCACAGGCGACAATGACAAGTGGGGTTTTGGATTCGTCCCGCATCTTGGTGGGGAGGCGGTGGCGCGGGAAGGCGTAGTCTTCTTTTGTTTGGCCTTGCTGAGGTACGCGCGCGTCGCGGGAGGCGCTGGGGAGAGGAATGCCCCCAGGACCGTCGACTTCTTCGTCCCGGTCGGCGGCAGAAGAGCCTGCGTCTTCCTTGTCGTCGAGATCCTCGGTGAACTGCGAGTAGGCGGGTCGGTCGTCCGAGGTGGAGGGCAGGGGTGACGTGCGGCTGTTGCTGGACGAATGGCTGCCTGTTCTCTGGGAAGTGCCGGGGTGGCCATTCGTGCGATCAGACGAGGTGGTTGCGCCCGTTGGTGACAAGCCCCTAGCCGACTTGCTCGGAGAAAGCGTGGCAAGGCTGGCAGAGCTCGCACCGCGCGACATCTTCTCGTCGAGATCCCACTGCGGCACATCTCGATCCCATTGAGGGCGTAAATGTGATTGCCCCTCGTCGTTTTGTGATGCCGCCTGATTTGCTGAGGCGTTTCCAGCCTCAGTCATCCCGTTCTGTATCAACGACCGCCTCTCCGCCGTCGGTGTCTTGACGCTATCGTGCTGCTGAGACGAGCTTGCTGATGACGCTGGAGGTGACGAACGCGCCTGCGACATGGAGCGGGTATATGGGTCGTGGTCATCCGACATGTTGATTGCTTTCGAAAGTGGACTGCTCCCACCTGCTCTTCTGGAAGATCGACCTGCGCGTGATGGGCTATCTGGCTGCTGATTTGAGCTGATGTCTGTGTTGTTGGAAAGATCCGAGTCCTGGCTCGATAGTCGCTGTCCTGCTTCGTCGAGTGGGCCTGCTCCACCGATTGGGGCACCTGTGAATGGCGGGCTGTCGAGATGAAAGCTCTGCACCGAAAGCGCTTGAAACTTGAGTGAGGAGGGAGCGCCTGGCCCTGCTTGCGAGTCTGTCATTCGGGGCATCGGTGCGGTTGGCTGTGTTCGAGACGGAAATGCACGAAATCAGTCAGCATCCGTCAGCCATCGGATTGGCGCCATAACACGGAACATAGGGCTGAAAGACTTACAGCTTGACGGGACATGTTTCGGAAGGATGCGGTGACAGCTGATGGAGGGACCAGATGTAGCAGCTCTGCGGAAAGTGGGTGTGTTTCGATCTTGTTGTTGAGTCAGGTTATCTACGAAGCAGCTTGGATGTGCGGCGGTGGGTCCGTGTATGACGCCGTCAAGGGTCTTCGATGATGAGTCGTCCTGCGATGGCGGCTCGGACGTGCCGTTTCAAGACGACGAGAATGTGATGGAGGAGGGAAGAGATGTAGGCGGCGATGAGCTTTTGGTGTGATGCTATGCGCAACTCTCAAACAGCGTGGGAACGGTGATTCGGTACTTTGCCGGTCATCGATCGGTCCGTCCGACTGTGTGATTGCCTTCTCTCTCGCTCGGCAATAAGCAAATGTAACGCCTGGCTGCTCCTCTTCCTCTTCAACGCCGCATGAAACAGGCAGGGACCTTGCCCCTCGCTCCCGCAGGCTATTTCGGTCGGTTGCCGAGCGCAATCAGATTCGTTTTGGTCTTGACCTTCTTCTCTGACTCGCCCTCGTGATAGCAAAAAGGGCCCAACCTGCTCCCATAATCGAAAACATCAGGCAGCCAGGCAGAGCCAGAAAAGGTCGGAAATCGAAATCCCAAAGTCACACGGCAAGGCCGCGATCTGCTTCCCTTCTTGCATCCGATCGAGCCCGCAGCTCTAGAAACGGCAGCTGCCGCCGCGGAGAGCCCATTTTTCGCGTCGAAAGACGGTGTGAGATCATGCTCAACGAATCTACGCGCTCGCAAGCGGATCACAAGCTTTGATGCCCCTTCAATGGCACAGACGAAAGTCAGCATGGTAATGATACATTGCATTCTGCAGATACAGCCCTTTCACATCTTCTCAAAGGCGAAGCCGAGGTAGAGTGTCGCTGCCTGCCACATCTCCTCATCCAGAGCCAACGACCCGTAGCGGTCGACCACCTTCATCCTTTCGAGCAGCTTGCCATGCTCTTCGTGCCTGGACCCCTCTTCGTACATCTCGGCAAAGTTCCTGCGGTAGATGCACCGCAGTCCTACCTCCATAGCCAGGTCCTCAAACACATCAAAGTCCACCACGTATTCCGGCACATTCTCAACCGCGTCCTCGAGGAAGAACGTGTATCGGTTGCCAAAGGCCGGCCACGTGTCCACCTGGTCAAACACCACCTTGTAGTATCGGTTCCCGAACGATCGGTCGTCCGGGTTGCCACCCGCGGTGAGACGGTCGCGCAACACACGGCTGTCAGGGATTGTGCCGATGAAGACACCTCCTCTGCGAAGGTAGCGTGCGACATTGTCCAGCATCATCCTCGCCTTCTCGACGCTCTCCCACGCGTAGTGCATGCAGAACTGGAGCGTGACATTGTCAAACATCGGCTCCAGTAGCTCGCGAGGGATGACCTCGGTCAGCGGCGTCGAGAAGCAGTCAAATGCGAAAAAGTCGCCAGAGTACCGCTGCCTGTTCTCTTTATGACGCGTGATGGCCTGCTCGATCGACACAGAGGCAATGTCGGCGCCCACCAAGGCGCTCGGGCTCACCTTGTCCCACTTTTTGAGATCTCCTCCCTTGCCGCAGCCCAGATCCAGGATGCGTCCACCGCGTGTTCGGTACCGAGGGCCCTGTGGCTCGTCGTAGCGTCCGCGTGCAAACGTGCCAACGAGTACCGACTTGATCCAGTTATTGAACTTGCGAAGCGCGATGATCGGCGACTCTTCACGTCCGTGAATGCCCACCTCTCGACGTTTGTTGTAGTGGTCCGCCACCTCTTCGGCATCTTCGAGGGTATCGCCAATCGCGCGCTTCTTGACATCCGAAGGCTTCGGTTGCTCTCCATTTGATGCGGATGCCGAGCCGTTCTGCCCGGCAAGCTCCATGTGGAAAGCGCGCAGGATCTCGTCCAGCGCTTCTCGGCTGTCGGCTTGGTGAAGCTGCTCCCACTCTCGCCGAAGTGGATTGCGACAACGCGCTCGTTTCCGATCGATCTCTTCGATGCCGATGGGACGCATCACTTGCCTTGGATGCGACACCCGGTGCGTGGGCGCATAGCGTGGCAGGGGAGCGATCTTGATGTCGGGCTGCCCTTTTGTCTCGACTTCCTCCTCGTCAGCTTTGGCCGTCAGCTCGACATCATCCTTGATGTGAGCAAGATCGTCAGACTTCGGCTCAGGAACAGGGCGATGTGTGTCCAGCGAAACCTCTCGAGAGCGCTTCTGATCGAATGGCTGCGTTGAGGTGTCGTTGGATGCTTGCATTGCATCGCCGGTTCGATCAGACGATGTCGCTTCGTTTTCTCTTTTGGACGAGTCACGGGAGTCGCGTCTTGACGTGGTCTCCTCGTGGTGGTATCGGCGGAGCTTGTCGAGATCTTGCTGAGATTTGGCCGCGACTCCGTCGTATTGCCCGTCACGCTCATGGGGATAGTGTGAGCGCTCAGCTTCGAGGCGGTAGGCCTCTTCACCGCTGTGCCTTCGCCCGTTCAGCTCCAGCGCTTCCTCCTCCGCCTTCAAATTTTGAGCCCGTCGCTGAGGGCCAAACGAAGGAGAGATTGCCGTCGGCGGCAAAGCTGGGTGCGCACGATCTCTTGGATGCATCGGACCGCCCGCGTGATGGGCTGACCCAGGGGTCAGAATGCTGTCACGACCATCGCCATAGCCACCATGGTCGTTGTGTACACCAGGACCGAAATCTGCGCTGCGACGAGGGTGCTCGGACTGTGTGAAGCTGCTCGACCTTTCGCGCGCCGGATCATAGGCGGCCGGTGGTGCGGACTCGGACATGTGCGGGAAGTAATTGCTCTCCTCGTAGCCGTCGCCGCCTCTGCGAGCATACGCCGAGTTGGGCGTGTGCGGCGGCAAAGATCTGGAGCCTGGCGTGAGCGGGTATCCACCCTGCGATGCAGCACTTCCTGGCGTAGGTGGCATGCCGTTGTTTGGAGTTGCTGGCGCATACCGATGAGCATATGGATGTGTCGGCTGACCGTAGCTATCCCTACGAGGAGATGCGTGGATCAGCGGGGGTGGCATGCCTGCAGCCGATGACGCCTCTTGTTCTTCGCCGGTCCAAGATGAGGATGAGTCATGGTGCAAAGGTGCACGCGGATGGGCGCCGTGGATCAATGAAGGTGATCGTGGCAATGGTACACGCCTGCTCTCTGGTGAGCGGGTCGTGGGTACGTCTGGCACCGCAAAGCGATGTGACGGCGAGGGCTGCAGGTGGGCGTAAGGATGGGATGCGGGACTAGCGGAAGTGCTAGCGTGTGCGTATGAGCCTGATGCAGAGCGAGGCGGTGGACCGTGGCCAACGGGGACACCCTGAGCTACGTGACGGGTTCTCTCAGCAGGGTGGCCCGGGTGATGCGCGCCGACTCCAGGGCTGGACCTGCTTTCGCGATGAAGCGTTGGCTGGTTGTGCGGATGCATAGCTGGCGGATAGGCACTGGATGGTGAGCTGACTCGGTAGGAGCTCGGACCTCCAATGACGGAAGGATGGCCGACCGGTTCGCGAGTGTGCATCATTGAGCCGGGCGAGGGCTGCAACGAAGGATGGCCGTGCGGTGACATCTGACTGGAATAGTGCTGTGGGGGCGGATGCGGGTGCGAATGGAACGATGAGACCGACGAATGGGAGCCGGACCTCGGTCTGTCCTGAACGGCGCCAGCCGTTCCATCATTGAGCAGATGCGCCATGCTGGGACTGCGTTCGGATCGACCCAATTGATGCGGAGCTGGATGCGACATGCGCGGATGCGAAGTGCTGTGTGGAAGAGGGGCCGAGGGGCCATGAAAGCCGCCCGATTGGCTGCTGGACCTGCTCATGCTGCCATCTGCTGCCATTTCTTCCCCGCCGTACTGAGCCGACCACCGGTGGGCTTCGCGGTGTCGGTCGTGTTCGGCATCCGACATCTCACTCACAGCAATCAGGTCGGCGATGGACGCACTGCGCCTTGATGGATGAGGCTCTTCGGAGTGGAATGAGTTGCGAGGACTGTGCTCGTACTGTTGCTGGGCAGCGTAACCATGATCCGCATAGCGTTCGTGAGGGGGAAGCGCAGTAGTGGGAGTACGCGGCGAGATTACGGGTTGACCTGACGGGCCTTCGTGACTGATTCGGCGAGAATAGCTTGCCTGGACATCACCATATTGGTCGATGGGGTGACCGGAGATGCTACGCCGAGAAGCAGAGGGATCGTCGTTGAATGCAGCGGAGGGTCGGGGTGCATAAGCGGCGGATGATGGCGACGGACGAGGGGCTTGATCTGAGCGGGGCCTGGCAGATGGCGAAGCTCGACTCAAGCCAGGACCGCCAGCGTCGCGGACCGGGTCGTAGCCTGGCATGTCGACGAGATAATGAAACCCACTTTGGGAAGGGGAATGAGGCGAGCCCCTTGACGAATTAGAGCAAAGGAGACTGCAGATACATGCTGGGACCGTGTGCGTTGGCGATAGAACTCTTTGCCTGGGTGCGCTGCTTCAGAACTCTCTCTGGTCGATCGCGAGTCCCATTTGAGGAGACCAATGCTGTGATGATGAAAGGAGGTGTGGAAGGCTGAGCCGAGAGGAAGATGGATGCGGAGAAGGCCAAAAAAGTGCGGAAAAGTCGCAAAGAAGCACCCTTCATACACGCGACTCGGAGCCGACCCTGGGAATTTCGACAAGGATGTGAGATTCTCATTTTGAGGTGCTGTCAAGCTCGGAATGCGGTTCTCAGCTTGTGGTCAAGAAGAAAGGGTGTGTCCAAAAAAGTTCTTGGACCCTTCCTTTGACAACGACCAACACAGCGACACCTTGGATATGGACGACCTGAGGTGACACTCGACAATCTGCAAGCACGCGGCTTAGGGCAGAGAACCTCCATCAGCGACTTACTAGAAGCTGGCTGCCTCCAGTTAGTCGACGCAGGCCCTCCACACGATGTTGTCGTCGTCCGCACGGGCAGCAGCTTGGCGAGGCCTGCCATTTATACGGCACTGTCTGTTCTGCCACGCTAGGGGATCTGCATCTGCTTGGAAAGCATCTACTCGACCATTAGCACAATCCTTGGGCGCAGCAATATCTCTGCAAAGGCCGCAGCCAGTGTCTCGTCAGCTCCAAACATCGGCATCCACCCTCAAGAAGAAGTCGGGCAAGGAAAAGTCATCAGCAGATAAAGGCTCGAAAGAGTTCTCTCACACCCTCCAGCTGCCCAACACACCGTTCGGTATTCGCGCAAATGCCGCGCAAAGAGACAGACTCTTCTATGATCGCACCTGTGGGGAGCTTTACGAATGGCAGCGGTCCAGGCCAGAGACGGCCGGCGACTTTGTCTTTCACGATGGTCCACCCTACGCCAACGGCAACTTGCATTGCGGTCATGCGCTCAACAAGATTCTCAAGGACATCATGAATCGGTATCAGGTGCTACGCGGCAAACGAGTGCACTATATGCCCGGCTGGGACTGCCACGGTCTGCCCATCGAGGCGAAGGCGTTAGCCAACGTGACTGCGGAGGAAAGAAGCAAAATGAAGCCGCACGAGATTCGCGAGCGAGCTCACGCGGAGGCAGTCAAAGCGATAGAGACGCAGAAGGACGAATTCAGTCAGTTTGGTATCATGGCCGACTGGAGTGATGCTGCGACTTATCGGACGCTCGACCCAGGCTACGAAGCTCGCCAGCTGCGCGTCTTTGGCGAAATGGTGCGCAAAGGGCTCATTTATCGACAATATCGCCCGGTCTACTGGTCGCCGTCGAATCGCACAGCACTCGCCGAATCTGAGCTCGAGTACCGCGAGGATCATCTCAGCAAAGCAGTCTACGTTGCTTTCCAGCTCCGTGCCGGATCCACCCTGTTGCAAAAGCTCGGTCAGCAAGCATCGATAGCGGACGATCTTCGTGCCATCATATGGACCACCACGCCTTGGTCTCTGCCGTCCAACATGGCCATCAATGTCAACCCAGAACTCGAATATAGCATTGTACGAAGAGCAGGGACGGACGGACCCTGCTACGTCGTCGGAAGTGACCGCCTCGAGGCGCTGTCTTCGCTTCCAGCCATCTCCTCTGTGAAAGGAGGCGATACAGACACGTTGACCTTTGGTCCACTCGAAGAGCTGGTCCGCGTTCGCGGAATGGACCTAGCCGACTCGACCTACCGCTCACCGCTCGCATCCCCTCACAGCTCTGCTAGGCCCATATTGATGGCAGACTACGTCACGGCAGTCTCCGGCACAGGACTGGTCCATTCGGCACCGGCGCATGGTGCCGAGGACTACCAGATCTGGAAACAGCAGGGCCATCTGCAGCGCGACGGCATCTTTTCTCCCGTCAATGACCAAGGATGCTACTCTTCCGACATCCTCGAACTCAATCAGGCAGCTGTGCAAAGAAGCTCGGATAACAAATCTGCCCTCGGTGAACGACTCGTCGGCAAAGAAGTCCTCAACGAGGGCGCTCGAGAGGTAATCACCATATTGCAGGAACGAGGTGCTCTGATATCGGCACAAACAATACGACACAAGTACCCCTACGATTGGCGATCAAAGCAGCCTGTCATTGTCCGCGCTACAGCACAGTGGTTCGCCAACCTCGACGACATCAAGCAGCAGGCAATCGAGGCACTCCGCGAGGTCACATTCGTACCAGAAAACTCGCGCGCGCGTCTCGAGTCTTTCATCCTAGGGCGGTCCGAATGGTGCATTTCCCGGCAGCGCGTCTGGGGCGTTCCCATTCCGGTGCTGTACGATACAGTGACCGACGAGCCGTTGATGACAGTCGACAATATCGAGCACATCGCATCCATTCTGGAGAAGAAAGGCACCGATTATTGGTGGAAGGCTGACGCCGAGGTCTTTGTTGCGCCTCAGTACCGCGATGCGAAGCGCACTTGGCGCAAGGGCGAGGACACGGTGGACGTGTGGTTCGACAGCGGCACCTCGTGGGCGACGCTCAAAGATCGGCTGGCGGCCGAGGACAACGGTCACGGTCTTCTCAGCCACGGCAGCATAGCCGATGTCTACCTCGAGGGCTCGGATCAGCATCGAGGCTGGTTCCAGTCTTCGCTCATTACTGCCGTAGCGACCACACCGGAGGGCAAGAAACCAGTCGCACCATACAAGACGGTGGTGACGCACGGATACGTACTCGACAACGAAAGCCGCAAGATGAGCAAGAGTCTCGGCAACGTCGTGTCGCCCTTGAGCATCATCCTAGGTGGCAAAGGGGCCGAACCCGCGTACGGAATCGACGTGCTGCGATTGTGGGTCGCTAGGAGCGACTACACCACTGATCCGCCCATCGGCAACGACATCGTTCACAAGACGGCAGAGACGCTGCGCAAGCTTCGCAACACCGCCCGCTTCATGCTTGCCAACCTGCCTGCGAGCGAAGCCATCGCCGAACTCGACAAGACGCACATGCGACTGCTGGATCGCTTCGTGATGCACGAGTTGTATGAGCTGGAGCGGGCCTGCGCTGCGGCTTATGAGGCGTACGACTATGCTCAGGTGGTTCGTCGGCTGGCCGAGTTTGCCAACGCAACACTCTCGAATCTGTACCTCGACGTCGGCAAAGACAGTCTCTACCTGGACGGTGTAGAGACCGAACGACGTACGACCATGGTAGCTGTAATCGACCAGATCTTGCGCACCATGATGGCGATCATGGCGCCAATCACTCCGTTCCTCAGCGAAGAGATCTTCCACTTCCGCAACGGTGCCAGCAGCGATCCTGCGGAAGGGACTCAAGGCGCGTCATCCGTATTCTCGGCAGGCTGGCCCACGGTCGACGAAGGCTGGAACGACCAGCAGGCATCTACCGACGCCAGACACTTGATGCAGCTGCGAGACGTCGCTCTATTACTGATAGAAGAGGCAAGGCAAGCCTCGCATGTGAAGACGTCGTTCGAAGTCGAGCTTGATCTCATGATCAAGCAAGACCAGTCGCAGCTGTCGTCGTTACTGCACGCGTCCGCCTCGGAGCTGACGGAGCTGTTCAACGTGGCGAAGGTGAATGTGGTCAAGGAGGGCGAGCAGGTTTGCGCAGGTTCGAATATTCTGGGGACGAGAGATCACGAAGACGTGATCACTCTCCGCCTCCGTCATAGCTCTGGCCACAAGTGTCCGCGCTGCCGCACTTTGCGCAAGCAGGCAGAAACCGACAAGCTCTGCGCGAGGTGCCAGACCGTCCTTGATAGTCTAGTCACGTAGAAGTGCAAATATGAACCGGTCCGTTCGAGTGCAATAGCTCGACACGAAGCATCTTGCTATTCCACTTCTGACGATCCGATGTGCGTGGTTCTTCCCTGACTATGGTCATCGTTCGAGGCATCGGCAGAAGCTAAAAAGCCTGACCTGATGCGAGTTCTGAGAAGAGTCCCGACACCGTGCCCTCTGATGAAGCGTCCAGCGGCAAAGCTCGGACGTGGTCATCACGCTTCGGTTGTTCCGAGCTCGGCATTGACTGTTCCTTCGATCAGTCTATACAGCTGCGAGACCTGGTCTGCTGGAAGCTCGCCTCCTGCGCCGCGAGCTGTGATCGCGCTGCCGATCACATCCGGTACGCCTGCTTGCTGCATCGCCCAATCTGCGCCCTCGACCTTCGAAGAAAAGCTGCCGGTGACGGCATATCGCCAGCCTCTGCAAGCGTTCAGGACGCTGTTCGGTGAAGCCAGCTCATTTGCTTGATGCCACTTGAGCGAGTCTGCGATCGCTTCCAGAATCCATCGCCGCGGAATCGCAGCAAAGGCATCTCTCGTCAACAATCCGAACAAGCTGCGACCGAGCTGACGTCCCAATGCAATGTCGAGAAGGAACCAGTGGCTTGACTCGTTGGCAGGATCAAAGCTGACGTGATCTGCTTGGCGCGAACCGGTGTTGAGATTGAGCTCGAAGCGAGGGTGACGATTGGCGGGATGCACAGTGCTCTGAGCATAGACGACGAACTCGAGCTTCGTCGCTGGACAGGGCAAGGCTTTGTGAGTCAAACGATCGACGATAGCTTGTTTGTCGGCTGCATCTAGCGGGTCTTTGACTACAGCTTGCACGTCCAAGTCGCTGCGACCATGCTCGCAGGCGTCGTAACTTGCAGAACCGAACAGGTAGATCCCGACGAGGCGGTCTGCCAGCAGGTCTTGGAGACGTTTGACGAGCTCTGCCAGGTACGCATCTACTTCTTCCGGTAACGACGCTGCCATCTTCATCAATGATCGTGTAATGAGCGCAACCGTGCAAACAGAAAAGCAACCATCAGACCTGTGCATAGCCGGGTCTCTTGAAATGGACCCTTTCGAATGCAAGAAAAATTGCTTTGAAAATTGAGGTTGTGAAATTATGCAAGATCACAAGAAAGACAGATCTTACTAGGCCAGCAGCATGATGCACTGCTGATTGGCAGCATTCAAAGTTGTCCTGTCAAACAACAAGAGTGTAAGGGGACGCGTGCCTGATAGCCGTCTCAAGGCTTGACTCTTGACTTCAGCAATAGCAAGGCAATGCAAGCCAAGATCAGCGAGCTTGGCACGAGGTAGTGTTGCTCTGCCAAAGTGGGAGCCGGCTATCAACTGACCCTTTGAACACTCCGTTCAGAGGTAGCGCGGCGTAGCTTGGTGATGCTGGGGTGCACACACACCTTGTGAGTGTTCTTGACGACGGTGTGTGGCTACTAGCTTGGTCGCTAGCTGCTGGTGGCGTACTGGTATGATGCTGGTTGAGGTTCCAGCACAGCGGTGTAGGTTCCGGCTGCAGGGTAGGTGCTGCAGTGTCAGTAGAGGTTCTGACTTGTCTGATTGTGTACTCCAACTTGAATGGAGGCACAAGCGATGTAGCTGCAATACAATTGTATTGCCGCTCTGTGACGTGACTGTAGAGAGTGATGTGAAGTGATTGCTGATGGCGATGACTAGCGTAAGATGCTTGATATGTAAAGTAGAGTGGATGAGGGCCAGCCTCATCCTACTCGAGCAAGCGTGATGTATATAAAGAGGCCTAGCCCTAGGCCGTGGTGCGGCGGCGGCGGACGACGAACAAATCCGTTGCTTTTTCCCCCGCCAAATGGCAGACCCTCCATTTGTCCGTTGGTCCAACAGACACGCCATTTGACACTGCTCCAGTGCAGCAACGGACTCAATTTTTTCTGGCAGGAGCAACGGACAGCAAGCAACGGACACATCAAAATTGCCAGGAAATTGGCTGGGCAACGGTCAAATGTGGAGGACTGGTCCAGTGCCCAACGTACAAATCCAACTTTCACACTGGAGCCGTGCGCAACGTGCAGATCCGGCGCGTTTGTCCATTGGTCCGTTGCCTGTCCGTCTGACCACCATTGTCTCAGTCTGTCAGACCGTCAGTCAGGCGGCCATATTCCCAGCCTGTCATACCGTCAATGCGTCAATTTCTGAGTCTGTCAGACCGCAAGTACGTCAGTTGGCCAGCGCGTCAATTCTCAGCGGGTAAAGTTACCACCAGGCGCACGTGAGTGGATCCCTCTGTCAGGCGCCGCCGCCGCCGCTGGCCGGTACTGAGTCCCTTTGTTCACCACCTCACGATGGATCCGCCAACACCATCTCCCTTTGTCTCTGAACACAGAGCAGCATATCCGGCCAATCCAGCCTATCAGGGCACGTCCAACTGAGATCACCTTTGTTCTCACGCTTGCCCTTTGTGTTGAGTCAAGTGCAATGAAGACATTGACAAAAATTTTCACATCGCTCAGTCCAGTGCGCAGCAAGCAAGCAGTACGGCATGCAGCAGCCTCTGCCCAGAGTACTGTAGACTGCAAGTCACGCACAGCAC